GGCGAGAGAGAGAGACTTTCCACCCGCCGGGGCCTCTCCGCGAAGGGTCGCCCACCCGGGGTCCGCGATTCCCGCCCTGTCAAGAGCAAAACCACCCCGAGCCCCAGCCCCGCCGGCCCTCTCCCGCCTTTGCCTTCCTCCCTTAGGACCGAGGGTCTAGGAGCGCGCAGAGGGGCCCTCGGGTACTTTCCCCCCAGGCCCGCCCGACCCGGGCAGGTGGCCGTCTACGCTGCCGGGAAGTGGCTCGCGGTTAGACCGGTCGTGTCCGCGCGGACGGGGTGTGCCGAGGCTCCCGAGCGAGCGCTCCACCCTGTCCTCCGAAAGAGGTCGTCCCGGCTGGGCCCTGCTCGTCGCCACTGCCCCGAAAGGGAGGCCCTGCCTGTGGTCCCGCCGATGGAAAGGCGGTTGAACTTCGTTGTGCCCGCCTGGGGAGACTGCGGCTGTCACTGTCGCAGCCCTCTCCCGGGTGTCAGCTCTGGCTCCTTCGTGGCTGGTAACTTTTCTCCAACCGAACAGCTTCATCACAGCGCTCATTTCAACAGTTCGGTCGAGGACTTCTTAGTTACTTTTCACCCGGTGCCCCAGCACAGAGTTGAGAAGTTGTTTGACGGTTTGACATCGTGTGAAAACCCCACTTGAAGAACAAATTAGGCCTGGTTTGAATCTTGCCCTGATAGTTGTCCAGGACTAGCCCTAAAGTTACCAAGCCTTGTTTTTCCTGTTTTGTTTTGTTTTGTTTTTCCTAGAAGACACATGCACTTGCGAGGAGAGAGAACGAGAACCTATTCTCATGGGGGATGGTCCCACCACAATCTCTTTTCCGTTTCTCCCTCTTTTTCACACTTTTGTGCACAGACACACACTGCCAGATTGTTTCTCTAGCTACTGGTTTGAGAGTCCAACCAGTTGGCCACGTGGGATCCAGCCCTCTTAACCATCAAGCCACTAGCTGGTCCTACCAGCCTTTATTTTCCCCTTCCTCTCCTCTCTGTAAGGTTTTTTGCCATAGGGCTTGTGTGCTCGCTGGAGTGGAGAAAGAGACAGAGAGAGGGGGTGATTTCTAGCTTTCTGTCTCTCTGTCTCTCTTTTTCTCTGGTAAGCACATGTGTCCTATAAGAAAAATCTCTAAAAAAAAAAAAAAAAAAAACCTGATCTGGCATCATCAGAGTTCTTCAACAGCATCATTGACATTTTGAGCCAGATATCTTTGTTTTGAAGGGGCTGCCCTGTACATTATTCAAATTTTTTTATTTTAAATTTTAATTTAATTTTTCCACGAGTGAGTAAGACAGACACACACACATGTAGCACCCTAACAAGGTCTTGATGCAGCTTTACCCAGGTCTGATCCTGAGCATGTGCCGGAAGTACACAGGGAAATCTCCAGACACAGACCTGGAACCTTCCCGTGTGGGTCAACCTTGCAGAGTGTTGGTGTTTTACTGCTGTGCCACCGTCTGCCTCCTGTCCTGTGCATTTCAAGATATCTGGCAGAAACTCTGGCCTCTACCCAGTAGATGCTCATAGCACCCCCACCTCCAGCTGTGAACAACTAAACCTTTTTCAGATATTGCCAAATGCCCCCAGTAGGCAAAGTAATCTCCATTGAGAACCATTGCTATAAATGATACATACACACAGTATATGACAACTGTTCATTGTTATAATTGGCTTTCATTTTATTTTGGCAACTAGTTACGAATCAGTGGTTCCTACCAGCTGTTAGAGGAGACATCCCTCCAGGCTGTGCTGCCCATGGATTTGTCTGCGATGGTACCAGAATATTAGTATTTGGGGGAATGGTCGAATATGGAAGATACAGCAATGAGTTATATGAGTTACAAGTAAGTGTTTTTAAAATTTGTTATTTCAATCTAAAGCTTTAATAAGTGACAATATTCATAATTCTTCAAAGATTGCTAAGTATTTCATTAATGTTCTTAAAATATAATAGTATGATGTTCACATTTTGTAGCTTAGAAGAATATGTTTCACTTAGAAGTCAAAGTTTCTAATTTAAGTCTTTCTCTCACACTGAATGTAACACTTGTAACTTCACAGTATCTGTTACTAATATGCAGGGTACTTTAACTTTAGCTTGCAACAGAGCACCTGGAAGACTTGTGGAAACACAGGTTGCCGGGGGAATTCTTTGTCCTGGGACCTGAGCATTTGCATTTCCATCAAGTTCCCAGCTGATGATGCTGGATCCCAGACCATACTCTGAAAATCACTGCTTTAGTATTGTAGAACATCTCCTCCCACTTAGAATTACTTTTTTTCCTAGTAATACATACAGGAAAGGTAACAGCTGCATATAACCTTTCTAAATGTGACTATTAAAGCAGACTTGTTGCCCTAGTTGACTTTTTTTTTTTTTTTTCTGATCTGTTTGTCCCTAGGGACATGATCCTGAGGGCATTTGCTAATTGGCATATGTGAGTAGGTTGTACCTATTCGTAAGAACTGATTTCAGAAATAGTTTCAGATAAGATACACATGGTTAGTGAATATGTTTTGGAGTTTGGTTTGTTAGATGAGCTTTATTAAAGGCTAAAATAGTATTCATGGATTACCTAATTATGAAAAGTAATATATAAATTACATTTAGTCTTAAAACTATGCATAATACTTAATTTTTCACTTAGAAATACTTTAGAATTGTTAGTGTATATTATTCTAAGCTTAGGTTGCCATTGTGGACATCTGTGGAAGATAACCTGATTTCTGTTGGTACAGATATTTAACATGTGTTTATGTTAGCTGCTTATTTATCATTAGTCCCTGAAGTAGTTTATTGAAGCCTTCTGGGTTGTATTTGGATTAAAATGTATTGGTATTATTATTTTTTAAAGAATTATTTAACTTTATTTATTCATTCTTTTTTTTGTTTGTTTTCTTGACCAGAGAGAGACAGAGAAAGTGATAAAGGAAGCCACCAGGTCTGGGACTCAAACCGTGGTCAGCCATGTGGGTGTGTCCAGTGCCTTAACTACCACACCACCTGCTGGTCCCTGTAGTGGTATTATTTTATACTGCTGACAATGTAACAATGCTTTCAGTTTTGTCAGAGTGTATTTGTGCTCTTTTTTAGGCAAGTCGCTGGTTATGGAAAAAGGTGAAACCCCACCCCCCTTCTTCTGGTTTACCTCCTTGTCCTAGGCTGGGACATAGCTTCTCTTTATATGGTAACAAATGCTATTTATTTGGTGGCCTGGCAAATGAAAGCGAAGATTCAAACAATAATGTTCCCAGGTATGCTACTCTTTCAGACTCAATGTTTATTTTATGATTTAGATTAGGAACATTTGATTTCTTCTACCTTAATTATTAGAAGGAATTAATCTTTTGCATTTAAATCTAACAGTGAATACATTTGTGTGTGCTTGTTTTCTTTAGTCCCTAGAGTATATCTGTTTACAAACTATGTCTTTTCTAATCAAGTCATTTTATTAAACTGATACTAATTTAACTTTGTATATCAAAGTGTTTGTAAATATTGATTCATAATATATTTTGGCTAGGTTTTAAATGACAATGAAACTTAACACATGGTTATTTCAAATTAGGTTTCTCTGCGATTTGGTAACAATATCTTGCTATAAAGTGAAGGCCATGAATTGAGTGGTTTATACTCATAAATATTTTACAATCGGTTCTTTCCTCTTCTTTACAAACTGAATTTATCCACTGTCTCTTTTCATTTCAAATGGTGTTTTGGTCACATTGCCATTATGGCACTCAGGCTTTGGAGATTCAGAGTGCAATAGGTTGTTTTCTTTCTTTTTTTTTAAAGAATTATTTACTTTATTTATTATTATTATTCAGTTTGACCAGAGAGAAATAGAGGTAGAAAGAGAGAAAGAGAGAAAGAGGGAGAGTGAGAAAGCAAGCTGCCAGGTCTGGGACTTGAACCATGGCCAGCCATGTGGGAGTCCATTACCTTAAGCACCACGTCACCTGCCTGCTCCATAGGCTCTTTCTTTTTTTTTTTTTTTTGGAGAGGTTTTTGCTATAGAGTGCTTGTGAGCACTAGAAAGACAGAGAGAGACAGAGACAGAAAGTGAGTAATCACCCCCCAGGGGGGGATGGCCATGCCGCAATCCCTTCTCCATTCTCCTCTCAGGATCTTGGGCATGCACGCACATGTGCCTGGTATGAGTTTAAGTCGCCGGATCCGGGACTTGAACTGTAGTTTACTACATGGGGCTACAGCGACATAGCCATTATGCCAACTTCTGGTCTCTCCCTAGGCTCTTTCTTAATCTGTGTCCTTCAGAGTAAGTAATCTCAGCCTATTTCCTTCACTGTGAACTAAGGGTGATTAAATACCTCTTACAATATTGTTGTGATGGCTAATAAGATCGCTGATACAGTTTGTAAAGCACTTTCAAGTTACCGTAGCATGTAGTACAGTAGGTGTTATCATCATTATAATTTTATTTTACCTACATTAGATCAATGGTAGGGTCTAGCTTTTAAAATTTTTTTTTAAACTTTTAAAAATAACAGGTGCATGGGACCAGCAGTTAGCGTAATGGCTATGTCACTGGACTTCCATGTAGTTTGAACGTGGTTTGAGTCCCAGACCCAGTGGCTTAAAACTCATGCTGGGCACGTGTGTATGTGTGCCCAGGATCCCAAGCAGAGAAGGGATTGCGGCATGGACATCCTCCCTGGGCGGTGATTTCTCGCTTTCTATCTCTCTGTCTGTCTCTGTCTGTCTCTGTCTGTCTGGCGAGCGCACACGCCCTATAGCAAAAACCTCTCTAAAAAAAAGAACAGATGCACTAAGTCATAGAAAATTTAGAAACTAAAGAAAAGAAAAAAAAATCACAGTAATCCCAGATACTTTTATTAATAGCACATTTTTTTCTTAAACAGGTTTTTAAAATAATACTTTTAAAAATTCAAGAAATTATAAATTATACAGTATTCTTTTTCACATTATCATTGACCTCCACCAGAGGCAAATACATATAATTCATTTTGCTTTACATATTTTGGGACCTTTTCATGTAACATATTACATTCATTAAGTTTTGTTAGGTTACTGTATAAAATAGGGTAAGCTGCTTTAGGTTCTGCTGCTTACTGGGGCCAGTAGATACATGTGATACTTTTTAAAGGCTCTAATCAAAAGCTTGCTCATTTATTTCTGGTCACATTCTATTGGTCAAAGCAAGCTATGTGTTTAAGGCAAGAATCAGTGGTCCAGGGATATATGAGTGTCTTCAAAAAGTTCATGGCAATGCATATTATGAAAAAACTATGCATAGAATTTAAAATTTTTTGCACCAAAATAAATTTAAATTTTATTACTTTAATTTCATTTTTTTCCCACAGACTTTTTGGATTCCATTCCATATTGTGCTTACTGGGAGAGAAGAGTTGGGAATATTAATCTGATTTTTCACACAGATGTTTTCTCTTTTATATACATGAGATCTCTCCCTCTCTCTTTTTTCTTTGCAACTTTGGGTATTTACTAGGTTTTGTCTTTGTTCTGTTTTGTCTTTTATTCCCTTTAATAATATGTATTCTTGGGAACCAGCAGTTAGCGTAATGGCTGTGTCACTGGACTCCCACGTAGTTGACCGTGGTTCGCTCCCCGGACCCAGTGGCTTAAAACTCACACCGGGCACGTGTGCGTGCGTGCCCAGGATCCCGGGAGGAGAATGGAGAAGAGGGGATTGCTGCGTGGCCATCCCCCCTGGGGGTTGATTTCTCGCTTTCTGTCTCTATGTCTCTCTCTGTCTGTCTGGGGAGCGCACGCGCCTTATAACGAAAATCTCTCCAAAAAAATGTATTCTCAGGACCACCAGCAGATGGTGTAAATGGTTATGTGGCTGGACTTCCAAGTAGTAGACTGCAGCTCGAGTCCCGGATTCAGCGGCTTGAACCTCATGCCAGGAACGTGTGCCCAAAATCCCAACAGGAAAATGGAGAAGAAGGATTGTGGTGTGGCCATTTTCCCCAGAGGGTGTGTCCTTGCTTTCTGTCTCTCTGTCTCTTTCTGACTCCCCGGCAAGTGCCCTATTGCAAAAATCTCTCTCAAAAAAATGTATATTCTCATGGCAGTATATGTAGATGATCTTATTCTTTTTTTTTTTTTTTTTTTTTTTGGAGAGTCTTTTTTCTTTTTTTTTTTGAGAGAGACTTTTGCTATAGGGAGTGTGTGCTCTTCAGAGAGAGACAGAGAGACAGAAAGTGAGAAATCACTCCCCCCACCACCAAGGGGATGGCCACACCACGAGCCCTTGCCTACCATTCTCCTCTTGGGATTTGGGGCATGTATTCACACATGCCTGGCATGAGTTTAAGCCACCCCGGGTCCAGGATTCAAACTGCAGTCAACTATATGGGAGTCCAGTGATAAAACCATTACACCATCTGCTGGCCCCTCTTTTTTATTTTTTCAATTGCCAGAGAACATGTGCACTCTAAGATAGATAGTGAGAGAGAGGGAGAAAGAGCCTGTCAGTGGGGCATGGTCATGCTGCAATCCCTTCTGGTCTATTTTTCTATCTTGTTGGGATTTAGGGCATGCATGATATTTCAATCACCAGGAATTGGGACTCAACCCCCCTGTCTGCCATGTGGGATTGGGTTCTCTTAACCACTAGGCAGCAACCACCGACCTTAGTTTTTTGTTTTTTTGTGGGTTTTTTTGAAGGTGTGTTTTTGTTTTTTTTTTTTTGCTATAGGGCGCGTGCGCTCGCCAGACAGAGAGAGACAGAGAGACAGAAAGCAAGAAATCACCTCCCGGGGGCATGGCCACACCGCAATCCTTCTCTTCCATCCTCCTCCTGGGATCTTGGGCGTGCACACACACGTGCCTGACGTGAGTTTTAAGCCACTGGGTCTGGGATGCGAACTGTGGTGGACTAAATGGGAGTCCAGTGACATAGCCATTATGCTAACTGCTGGTCCCCTGACCTTAGTTTTTTAATAAATGCTGAAAAGCAGTTTGACTCATGTAAATTATTTAACTATTCCTTTATTGGTAGATATTTAAATATTTCTGTTTTTCTCCTTTTACAATCTTTGCATGTGTAAATATTTTTGTAAGATCAATATATGTAAGTGGAATTGGGAAAGATCAGAGGATATCTGCGTTTAAAACTTTGTTAGGTGCTCTAGAATCAACCTCCAAAGAGAGGAAACCAGTTTATGCTCCCAGTAACACTGTGTGAGAGTGCCTATACTTTTAGCAATATTGAATTACCTCATTTCTTCTTTTTTGCCAACCTATTAGGTGAAATATATTTCATAGATTTTTCTTTCTATATTTTAAACAATTATTTTATTCAACTTTATTATAATTATTATTATTATTTTCCAGTTTGATCAGAGACAGAGAGAGAGAGGGGGAAAGTGAGAAAGTCACCAGGTCTGGGACTTGAACCATGGTCGGCCATGTGGGAGTCCAATGCCTTTAACCACCATGCCACCTGCTGGCCACATCTATTTTTTTTCTACAGGGCACATGCACTCGCCAGAGAGAGACATACAGAGAGAGGGAGAGAAAGTGAGAAAGCACATGCCTGGGGCATGACCATGACATTCACTTCTCTTGCAATTTTCTCAAGATTTCGGGCATGCATGCATATGCACTCGGTGTGTTTTTTCAAGCCTCCCAGTCTGAGACTTGAACTGCATTATTGGCCAGGTGGAATCTAGTCACTTTAACCACTACACCAACTGGCTGGCCTCAGGCTTTTTTTTTTTTTTTTTAGAGGTTTTTGCTATAGGGCACGTGTGCTCGCCAGACAGAGACAGAGAGACAGAAGCTGAGAAATCACCCCTCAGGGGGGATGGCCACGCTGCAATCCCCTCTCTTCCATTCTCCTCTTGGGATCTTGGGCGTGACCGCACACATGCCTGGCGTGAATTTAAGCCACCGGGTCCAGGACACGAACCATGGTAGACTATGTGGAAGTCCAGCGACATAGCCATTATGCTAACTGCCGGTCCCGCTGGCCCCAGTTTTGATTTTTTAACTGAGAATGAATTTCATGAACTGTTCGTATTGGACATTTATCATGCTCTTTCCAAAATTGCCTATTCATGTTGCCGTTCATTTTTCTTTTTAAAAATATTGAAATGCAAGTTATATACCATAAAATGAATCCTTTCCATACGAACATGTCAGTGATTTTTAGTAAATTTGTGTTGTGCAGCCATCACCACGATCCTGTTTTAGAACATTTCCATCACTCCAGAAAGAGACTTCTGCCCACTTGCAGTCAGTCCTTGTCCTGATCCCCAGGCAACCGTGAATCAACCTTCTGTCTCCATAGATAAACCTGTTCTGGACATTTCATGTAGATACGATTATGAGGTTTGTCCATGTTGTAGCATGTATCAGATATTTTTCCCTTTATATTGCTAAATAGTACTCCTTTGTATGCCTTCACCACACTGGCTTGTGTATCCTTTCATCAGATGATGAACATTTGGATTGTTTCCGGTTTTTGGCTTTTATGAATAATGCTGCTGTGAACAAGTCTTGGCTTCTTTTTCTAATGGCTTTCTGATTTTTTTAAGGATTATTAATTTTATTTATTACTATTATTTTTTAAAAAATGGCTATAGGGCACTGTGCTCACCAGAGAGGGACAGAGTGGGTGGGAGGGGATAGAGAGAGAGAATGCAAGACACCAGGTCCAGGACTCAAACTGTGGTCAACCATGTGGGCATCTAGCGCCTTTACCACCACGCCACCTGCTGGCCCCTCACCCAACCTCTTTTACTAAATAAGCCAAATTTGCTTCCTGTTGATTTATAATTTCATCTCTGTCATATCTTAACTCTTATATAAATGAGTCTTTTTTCTAGACTTTCTAGACCATGGCTTGCACATAATACACAGATCTGACCTGCTTATTTCTGTGGTTTAAAGTTTTATAGGAACCCAGCCATGCCCATTCATTGTCATATTTTCTTTAGCTGCTTTTCTGTTAAAACAGCAGAGCTGCATATTTGCCACAGACTTTATGGTCTGCAAAGTCTAAAATTTACTATCTGTTCCTTCACAGAAAAAGTATGTTGACTCTTGCTCTAGAGTCTGTTCTGTTTCATTAATACATTTATCTTCCTTGGGCCGGCAGCTGGCGTGGTGGTTAGGAAACTGGACTCCCACATGGCTGACCATGGTTCGAGTCCTGGACCAGGTGGCTATCTTTCTCACTCTCACTCTCTCCTCCTCTCTCTTGTCAAATCAAATAATAATAATAATAATCTTATATAATCTTCCTGTAATTAAGTGTGGCATTTGCTATCGGTTTCTAGTGTGTCCTTTAAAAAAAATTAAATTAATTAAATTTTTTGAGAGGTATTTTTGCTATTTGGTATGTGTGTTCACCTGAGATACAGACAGAAAGAAATCACCCCCTGGGGGGATGGCCACACCACAATTCTTTCTCCTCCAGTCTCCTTTCAGATTTTGGGCATGCACATACACATGCTGGTGTGAGTTTCAAGCCGCCAGGTCCAAGACTCAAACCATGGTCGACTACCTGGGAGTCCAGCAACATAACCATTATGCCATATGCTGGTCTATATTTATTATTATTCTTCAGTTTGATGAGAGAGAGAGAGAGAGAGAGAAAGAGAAAGCTACCAGGTCTGGACACAAACCACAGTCATCGAAGTGGGAGTCTGGTGCCTTAACCACCATGCCACCTGCTGGCCCCTCTGGTGTGTGTCTTTAATTAGACTAAGGAAATTTTCTTAAATTTATAGTCTACCAGTTTTTTTTTCTTGTCTTTTTAAACAAAAATGGATGTTGGGTTATTTATTTAAAAAACAATTATTTTATTTTATTTATTATTTTAATTTGACCAGAGAGGATCAGAGAGAGAGAAAGTGAGAAAGTAAGCCTCCAGGTCCAAGACTTGAACTGTGGTCAGCCACATGGGAGTCCAGCGCCCTCTCAGGATTTGCAGCTCTGCTTTATTTATTTATTTAATTAGCCATAGGACATAGGCGTCCACCAGAGAGAGACAGAGGGAAAGTGAGAAATCACTTCCCAAAGAGGCTGGCCATGCCACAATCGCTTTTCCTCCACTCTCCTTCTGGGATCTTGGGCACACAGCTCACATCACCTGGTATGATTTTCAAACTGCTAAGTCTGGGACTCAAACTGCAGTTGGCCATATGGGAGTCCAGCACCTTAACCACATTCCAGAGCTGAACTTTTAAAACTGCCACAGTTGTCATTGATATGAGTAACTAAGTGATAACAGGAATTTCTCCTCTCTCCTGTCCATTATTGAGTCCAGAAGAATGCCTGGTACCAAGCAGTGTTTGATATATCACATGATGAATGAATGAGGTCTGGGATTTCTGCCCTCCTAACTCCTTTCTGTACTATATGAATTATCTCAGCAAGGCTATAGTATCTTTATAAACAGAAACAAAAGGCAAATAAAGGTATATATTAGCTGAATGTTTTCATTTCTGTCATTTCCTAGATATTTAAATGATTTCTATGAGTTGGAACTACAGCATGGCTCTGGCGTTGTGGGTTGGAGCATTCCAGTGACAAAAGGGATTGTGCCTTCTCCAAGAGAATCCCATACAGCCGTTATATATTGCAAAAAAGATTCTGGAAGTCCTAAAATGTATATTTTTGGCGGAATGTGTGGTGCTCGCCTGGATGACCTATGGCAACTTGACTTAGGTAAGCTTCACTTAGTTCAGGTTCAGGAATTGCTTATGAGTAACAAGGGAAAAAAACATTTTTTTTTTTTTTTTTTTGGAGAAGTTTTCGCTATAGGGCGTGTGCGCTCACCAGACAGACAGAGACAGAGAGACAGAAAACGAGAAATCACCCCCCCAGGGGGGATGGCCACGCCGCAATCCCTTCTCCTCCATTCTCCTCTCGGGATCTTGGGCATGCACACACACGCGCCCGGCGTGAGTTTAAGCCACCGGGTCCGCGACGCAAACCGCGGTCGACTACGTGGGAGTCCAGCGACATAGCCATTACGCTAACTGCTGGTCCCAACAAGGGAAAATTTTTAAATGCTTGAAAAAAATATTTTTGTTGTAGTATTCACTGAGTTGTACATAGATGTGTAGCCAGCAGTTACAGCTCCAGGGAGAGCGGAGGTGTACTGTGAATGGCTGCTGATCAGTCCTGTTAAGTAAGGGAAAGTCTGTGCCCTCTCAGTAGGATCACTGTGTGTCCTAGTTTGTCTGGGATGGTCCTGCTTCATGTTTATCATTCCATGTAGTTATCAATACTACCCCCTTTACAGGAAAAGTGTCCTGTTGGGAATGATAACTTTATATGTTACCTTATCTAAAGGAAATGGAGCATTAGCAATGTGATTGCTGGTCAGTAAAAATCCCTTAGGGAGTTGTTGCTAAAGGAGCCTAGGAATGAATGATTGGTAGGTGAGCCTCTCTTATTTGGCTATCTTCTATATAATGTGCTCTTATGGAAAAATGTTAAAATCCCTAATGTTCTTAATTCAAAACTGGGGGATAACCTAAGCATACCTCTTCATTACAAAAATCATAGATTTCTGATTAGAAATTTATGTCTATTGGAAATGTTAAAGATGAAGTTCAAGTAACTGCTTTGAAAATGTTTTGCTTTATTTTGATAAGCACGTTTTGGTTTCATTTTATTTAGTTTTTAAGATTTTTGCCATAGGGCATGTGTACTTACTGGAGAAAGAGAGAGGGAAAGTAAGAAATTACCGTATGGGTAATTACCCACTGAGGGGATGGCCACAAAACAGTCACTTCTCCAGTCCCCTCGGGATTTTGGGCACACACGCGCACATGCCCCGTGTGATTTTCAAGCTGTTGGGTCCAAGACATGAACCATTTTTCTGCTTTATGGAAGTCCAGTACCTCAACCACTACTCCATTGCTGACCTATTTGCTTTATTTTTTTTTAATTAATATAAATTGAAGTAATTTTCTATTGTCCGGTTGCTAATATATTTGTTTTTACTTACAGAGACTATGTCATGGTCAAAACCAGAAACCAAAGGGACAGTGCCACTCCCAAGAAGCCTTCACACAGCCAGTGTTATAGGAAACAAGTATGGCATTCTCCTGTTTTTCATTTTTGCTTTTTTTTTTTTTTTAAAGAAGTTAAAGATACACACAAAGAAAAGGATTGCTAATGACTTTTTGGAAGTAGACTACAGAATTTAACAATATTTGTGGATACTGAAGTTAACATAAGCTATCTGTGGAAGCCAAAAGTGCTGTTCTGTTTTCCTATGCTGTCTTTTTACTTTACATTCTTCACGATGCCTTGCACAGAATAGGTGTTACCTGTGTAAGGCAGGGTGCTGTCAGACGGGTCTGTCTTCTGTCATCAGGTTTGGCACAGCTTACTCACTATTCCTTTATATATATATTTAATTTATTTTATTTATTTATTTATTTATTTTTGCTATAGGGCGCGTGCACTCGCCAGACAGACAGAGAGAGACAGAGAGCCAGAAAGCGAGAAATCACCCCCCAGGGGGGATGGCCACGCCACAATCCCTTCTCCTCCATTCTCCTCTTGGGATCCTGGGCACACATGCTCACGCGCCTGGCGTGAGTTTTAAGCCACCAGGTCCAGGACGTGAACCGCAGTCGACTACGTGGGAGTCCAGCGACATAGCCATTATGCTAACTGCTGGTCCCACTTTTTATATATTTTTGGTAGTGCTTGTTTTATCGTGCTCAGGCACATACTCTAAATGATTATACTATAGATGGCAGCATAGAGTATGGTTAGAACACAGATTCTAAAGGTTGTCTGAATTCAAGTCTCAGTTTTAGTACTTCTCTGACCTGGGACAAGGAAATTTAATCCATCAAAGAAACCTCAGTTTTCTCAAGTATACAATGGGGATTAAAGTAAAACCTCCTTCTCCAAGTTGTAATGAGGACTAAACGGATTTGTTCGCACAAAGTACTTAGACCAGTTTCTGGTTCATACAAAACACTCCATGAAAGTCAGCTTTTATAGTACTACCATCCACAAGTTCCCATATTTATACAACACCGGGCGATGACTAGGATACTGTGCAAGTAGAATTTAATGACGCATTTATAATAGGCATTTTACTTTAAATAGAATGTTTTAGGAAACTATTTGTAATTTAGAAATTTTTTTAAAAATAGCCTTAAGGAACTGGCAGGTGGCATGGTAGTTAAGCGTGCTGGACTCCCACATGGCAGACCATGGTTCAAGTCCTGGACTTTCTCACTGTCCACCTTCCTCCCCTTTTCCTCTTTTGCTCTGTCCTTCTCTGGTAAAATATAATAAATAAAGTTAAATAAGATAATTCTTTTTAAAAAATAGCCTAGAAACTGAACAGAATAGTCTTTACTTATAAACAAAACCATACAACATAGGTTTTTTTAAAGCAACAGAAACCTTTCTTACAGTGCAGTTTTCTGTTGGAACCCCTAATCAATAATAGAGAGAAAAGCAGAGCTTTGGTTAGCATGAGGCTGCCTGGGACCTAAGAACTCTGCCCAATGAGCCTTTCTCCTTCACATAGTCACCGTACTTGTCTTAAGGACCTCTGGTGCCTTGAGGAACATAGTGTAAAGTTTTTATTTAAATAATATCAGTGACCAAAGTTACATGAAATTTCATCTTCTTTGGTTACTGTATGCATACAATTCTAAATTTGGCTTTGGATGTCATAGAATGTTTGGGTGGCTTTTTTACTAAAGTACTTTTAGTATATTATGGACAATATTGATTTTCAAATATATTGTAATTATAATTTTCCCTATTTTAATTGGCTTGCCAGAGAGAAATAACTTCATGCTTATTAAATTGTAAACTTCTTTTTTTTTTGAGAGGTTTTTGCTGTAGGTCATGTGCACTCACCAGAAAGAGAGAAACAAAGAGACAGAAAGTGAGAAATCGCCCCAGAAGGGATGGCCCAGCCACCATCCCTTCTCCTCCATTCTCTCTGAATCTTGGGCACACACACACACACGTGCCCGGCGTGAGTTTAAGCCACCAGGTCCAGGTCTCGAAACCCAGTTGACTACGTGGGAGTCCAACAACATAGCCATTATGCCATCTGCTGGTCCCTAAATTGTAAACTCTTAAAAAAAACTATTAATTGATCTTCTTAGTCCCATTACCTTGATAGTCATAACTGAATGAATGGCTCTGAAGTCTGAGTCAACAAATAAGAAATTTAAGTCTATTAATCTTTGCATTTCAAATCCAAAAGTAAAATCAGTTACTGGGACCAGCAGTTAGTGTAATGGCTATGTCACTGAACTCCCATGTAGCTGACCATGGTTCGAGTCCTGGACCCGGTGGCTTAAACTCATGCCGGGCACATATGTGTGCGTGCTTAAGATCCCAAGAGGAGAAGGGAGGAGAAGGGATTGTGGTGTGGCCATCCCCCCCGGGGGGTGATTTCTCACTTTCTGTGTCTCTCTGTCTTTCTGGCGAGCGCACATACCCTATGGCAAAAACCTACCCCCCCCAAAAAAAAAAAATTAGCTACTTTGTGCTATCTTTTTCTTGTTGTTCAGGATGTACATTTTCGGTGGATGGGTTCCACATAAGGGGGAAAATATTGAGACTTCATCTCATGATTGTGAATGGAGATGTACCAGTTCATTTTCTTACCTAAATTTGGGTGAGTCTTTCAAAAGCTACTCATTGAAATAAAATTTATTAATAAATTAATTTTGTTAGTTTGTTTCAGAGCAATAGGTTAATCATGGATTTTTCTGCCTTTTTAGATACAGCAGAATGGATCACTCTAGTATCAGATTCTCAGGAAGATAAAAAAAATTCAAGACCAAGACCAAGAGCTGGACACTGCGCTGTTGCAGTTGGCACTCGATTGTATTTTTGGAGTGGGAGAGATGGCTACAAAAAAGCACTAAATGGTCAAGTTTGTTGCAAGGATCTTTGGTATCTTGATACTGGTAGGTAAGAGTATTTAACAAATAAATGCTTTTCTTTAGATAAATAATGTGTATATTTCGAGACTTACTATAAATGTCACAGACTTTCTTTATCATAATTAAATAATAATGGTGGAAGAGGGACCAGCAGATGGTGTAATGGTTATATCTGTGAACTCCAGTGAGGTAGACCATGGTTCAAGTCCCAGGCCTGGCAGCTTAAAACTCATACCAGGTGCGTGTGTGTGCATGCGTGCCTTTTCAGTCAGGAAATTCATGTCCTTCAGTTCTGGGGAATTTGCTGACTTTATTTCAGTGATTTGTATCCTCTGTTTTCTCTATTCTCTCTTCATGTAACTTCTGTTATATGGGGTAGATAGCTCCTGGACTTGTCTTCTTACTGTCTGCTTTCGCTCAGGTCTGGATTGCCTTACTTTGAGAAACATAGGTAAGCTAGGTTGTAAATTGGGTAATGGAATAATTTACATGGGAATCGTCAAAGGGGCTAGGCTTAATTATCCTCTAAAACACAGTAGTCAGTTTTGTGGTTTGCTTTCTTTTACAGCAAGATTGTAAATATTTTTGGTGTTGTAGGGACCGCGCTCTCTGTAGTACTCAGCTCTGCTGTTGTAGCATGTAAGTAGCCATAGATCATGAACAAGTGAGTATAGCTGCATTTTTGTAAATAAATCTTGTTCACAAAAGCTGCCATGGGTTGGATCTGACCCATGGGTCCCAGCTTGCTGACTCATACTCTAAAGACACGTAGTTTAAAATGGAACATATTAGTCCCTTGCTCTTTTTAGTTTTTGGCATAGGGTGTGTGTGTTTGCTAGTGAGACAGTGAGAGGGAAAGTGAGAAATCATCCCCCACATCCCTCATGGGGATGGACATACCAGTCCCTTCTCCTTTACTCTCCTGGAATTTTGGGCACACACACACACACACACATGCATCCTGTATAGGTTTCACATTGCCAGGTCTGGGACTTGAGCCGCAGTCTGTTGTATGGGAATCCAGCGCCTTATCCACCATGCCACCTGCTAGCCCCCAGACTTGTTCTATATGGATGAATTATAGGCTTAAGATTTCAACTCACGGGCGGCTCCTGATTCGCCGGCTGTGATGTGGTCCCGCCCCTGCAAGATACCAAATAATGTCATCTGAAACATTGCCAGTATTTATTGATACTTCTAATGGTGAAAGAAAGCAAGATGTAAGTGAAGATCCAGAGGAAAGTGAGAAGCCAAGATTAGGTGAAGGGTCTGAGGCAGTCTCTAAACGACAAATGAAGAAGCTTATGAGACAGAAACAATGGGAAGAACAAGAACTCCGCAAACAAAAACGGAAGGAAAAGCGCAAGAGAAAGAAATTAGAGCGACAGTGTCAACTGGAGCCAAACTCTGATGGAAATGACAGAAAACGTATTCGAAGACATGTTGTTCCCAGCACACTCCGCCTAATCATCGACTGTAGTTTTGATGACTTGATGGTATTAAAGGACATTAAAAAACTTCATAAGCAGATTCAGCGCTGTTACGCAGAAAACAGACGAGCACTGCACCCAGTGCAGTTTTACTTGACAAGCCATGGAGGCCAGCTGAAAAAGAATATGGATGAAAATGACAAAGGATGGATCAACTGGAAGGACATCTATATCAAACCAGAACACTACAGTGAACTCATGAAAAAAGAAGACCTGATTTATCTGACATCAGATTCACCTAATGTACTGAAGGAATGAGATGAATCAAAGGCTTATGTAATTGGAGGATTAGTAGATCACAACCATCATAAGGGACTCACACATAAGCAAGCATCAGATCGTGGAATTGATCATGCACAGCTCCCCCTTGGAAACTTCGTGAAGATAAACAGTCGCAAAGTTTTGGCAGTTAATCATGTGTTTGAGATTATTCTGGGATGCCTGGAAACAAGAGACTGGCAAGAAGCATTTTTTTACTATTTTACCCCAACGAAAAGGAGCTGTTCCCACAGACAAAGCCTGTGAAAATCTTTCCCATGACAAACAGTCCGCTAGGCTTGAAGGTGGATTGGAAAGTGATTCCAGTGAGGAGGAATGTAGCAGAATTGAGCTGGATTTACCACCTGAGGAAGAAAAGCAGGATAAGAAAAATGGCACGGAACCTACAGTGGACACTGCACTGCACTAACGTTACCCGGTCTTCTTCTAGTTTAAGGGAAAATTAGAAGAAAATGGGGTACTGCACAGAATATTCAAATTGGAAGAATTCTTTTTTTTTTATTTTTGCAAATTTAAAAACTTTTTTCAGAGCTAAATGATAGAAAGCCTTTTAAATGCTGTAAAAAAAAAATTTTTTCAACTCACTAGAAGAATAGATGTTCTGATGTAACTGTCCGAGGATGGAATGTACTGCTTCTGAATTGTGAGTTCCCTGATGCAGTAGGAGGAATACAGAGAAAGGGAAGACAAGGATATTGTAGAAATAATCTCAGGTGTTTCTTTTTTCCAGTTCTGAGTCTATGATTTGTTTTGGAAATGTTGGTGATATTTTATACCAAGGTGATTACATGTCTCAGGTAGTACAAGTCTAGATGAGAGGTATTGACTTCAGAGAACATGTCCAAGTCATCTTTCCTAACAGTGCCAATATTTCTAGCATGTATGCTGTTGTAGAGAAATTGGCTCATAAAATTAAAAAGATGAAAACTTGTACAGAAGGTGAAATAATGTAGCTGTAACTGTAATACTTGGCCTCCCCCTTTCCCAGGATTAAATATTTTTTCAGAATCTGATGACTCAAGTAGTTTGGTACTAAGTTGTTTGGTTTGTAGGTATATTTGTATAAAGAATTAAACAAACGGAATCAGGATCACTGACTGTTTTCATTTGACCTACTAGAGCTGTCTTTATCTGAGTAAAATTTCCATCTCTTGATAAACAGATGAAATAGTTGTTGCTGATGTTTCCAAAGCTCCATTCTGTACGAAGTATATAGGCAAACTGTGGATATATTTGAAACGTAAATTTATAATGTCAATACTGTTCTTTAGAGAAACCACCAGCACCCTCCCAAGTGCAGCTGATCAAAGCTACTACCAACTCTTTTCACGTCAAGTGGGACGAAGTGCCTACGGTTGAGGGCTATCTTTTGCAATTGAATACAGACTTGACTTACCAAGCTGCATCATCGGATTCTTCAGCACCACATATTCAAGGTAATGTAATTTTCATGCTTAGAGAAAGCATGTATACTCATACAAAGACTCCTCACATACTTTTCAAATAATAAACTGCACAGTAGTGTGGATTTGTTTTGCTTTAAGAAATTTTATGTTGTGGTGGTCCATGCCTAGTAAATCAGATATGTTGAGTTTCAGCTCTGAAACTTGGCATCTTACCATTGTGACAGAAAACACACAGATATGCAGGATAGGATGCTTTTTTCTGCAGTTCATTTTGATGCACTTTCTTAATTTGACATATTACTTGACTCCAGTAGATGGTTTTAATTAGCCTTCATAAATATTTAATTTTTTTAAAAAAGTATGTTTAACTAAAAAGGCATTTGATAAGCAAAGCAAATTTAATTTTACTCATTCTTCCAGAGAGAATTTCAATCAACTGTTAAACTACTAAGAAAACTTTAATAAAGATAGTACTTTTTAAACCTTTGTAGAAAAAATAAATTCAATTTCTCCTGCTCAACACAACACAAATCACTTCTGTGATCCCAAAACGTGTGGTGATTTCTGTGATCCCAAAACGTGTGGTGATTTCTCCCCACTAGCAGATCTGTAAGGGAAGGGGGCACCAGCTGAGTGTCCTCTAATTTGGTTCAATTCTAACATTATTTTCCTGGCGAGAGCATCAGATCTCACAGTTTAAGGACTCAGTCCTGTAAGACTGCCCCCCGTACAGATACCAGTCCTAAGTTCTAGCCTCCAGAACCTCTGACTGACCAGCAAAGTTGGGGTTCCCACAATGTTCCCCTCCTCAGGTTCATTTAATTTGCTAGAGTGGCTTGCAGAACCCAAGGAAACAATTATAGTTACCTGGTTTGTTATAAAGCATACTCAAAGGATACAGACAAAGAGATGTTCAGGGTAAGGCATGTGGGAAGGAGATGGAGTGCCATGCCCTCGCTGGGAGCACTACCCTCCTGGAACCTCTGTGTTGTACTGTCTGGAAGCTCTCTAAACCCTGTCCTTTGGGTTTTATTGAAGTTTCATTGTATAGGCATGAAGGCATAACTGATAAATCATTGGTGATCAATTTAACCTTTAGCTGCCTCCCCAGAGGTTGGATGGTGGGTCTAGAACTCCTGCTCCTCTAATCCAGACTGAAAGCAACCTAGAGGTTGCCAGCTACCAGTCAACTCATTGACGTAGAAAAAGACATTTATCACTTTGGAGATTTCAAGCATTTTATGAGTCAAGTTGAATAGGGGTGAAGACCAAATATATATTTCACAACATCATAACCTTTAATATACAACTGGAATTTTAAAAATTTTATTGAGCCCAAGGAGTTTATCAGTCTGAACTTTTCTCATTCCTACAGGAATCAGGATGGACCCTCACAGACAAGGCAGTAATAGCATCATTCCTAACAATGTAAGTTCAGAAATGTATGGGGGTAAATTATGTTCATGGTTATGGTCCAATTGTGTAAATATTTTTAGCATATCGCTCTAGGATAAGTGTCCTTGACCCTTGCTGCACGTCAGAATCATCTCTGAGACAAACAAACAGAGACCTCTAAACCCTCCCAGGTCTAGTGAAGCAGAATCTTTTTTTTTTTTTTTT